TCTAACAAAGATTCGTGAACTAACTGCAAACACGAGAAAATCAGGTTGGCTTCAAACCTAGTTGTGGCTGTACCGACCATATATTCACCATTCGTCAGGCTCTAGAACACAGACATACTTATCGGTGTCCGATAATGGTGATCTTTCTTGACTTAAAAGCAGCATTTGACTCTGTAGACCGCAAGATTCTGTGGCAGCGTCCGTCATTGAACACCACCAGTCGAGTAAAAGCTTATGGCGAACTGTTATCTGCTTTTGCAACCTCAAATGGTGTCCGTCAAGGCTGTCCACTATCTCTATTTTCGTCCAACTGCATCATAGACCTACTGATAGAAATAAGACTTTCGTCGACTAAATTTTTGAGCATTGATCTCTTACCAGGAGGTCCACTTATCGACTTAGAATACGCAGAAGTTATCACCCTATTTGGTGAAGACACCGATACTTGGTTGGTGTCCACGTGACCATAGTAACTAATGGTTGGAGACTCTGGGTGACATGGCTCAGAATCGATCCCAATGATGTAGGTGTACACACTTTCTGTCTTCCCACAAACTATGTGACTGAAATTGTTTTATATCTTTCTTTTTACGAACTAATTCTTTCTTCCTGTTCTGCATACTTCAATGCAATGTTTTTTTCGAAATATTACCACCACTGAAGTAACTATGATGTCTTGTGATCATTTACGATGTTATTCTCTTCAATAAAGCAGTACCCGGCTTCCTTAGTTTATCCATCAATATTAGAAAGTATTTTTTGATGTAGTTTCCTGTTGATGAGGTATAAATTGCAAGAACTGATGTGTAGTGAAATTTAATACTCTCAAACATGACCCCACCACGAAAGCCCATTTATGTCATTTGGGCTTAAATGTGATGCTCTTTCTCTAGTCTTCTCTCCGTAACCATGACACTTTTACCAAATTCCAAAGGCTAATAACCCTGTTATCAGACTCTAAAGAGCTTAAATTATGCCTTGGACTCCCGCTCACTACTGATAAACTTTATTATGGACAGACTGATATCTAGACGGAACAAGAATATAAAGAACCCCATTGTTATTGATATGGATATAACTAAATTACAGAACACACTGTTTATCCTCTCCCATTATTCACTGATTATCGATCAAGGCCTTATGCTCCTAACCCTCACTCTCAGTTTCCGAATCTCTCTAGTGGTTAAATATGCATTATTTTTCCTAAATGTCATGTCCTTTTTTTCTATTCCAAGTGGACGGATAACTCACAAACCTTATGGATGCTGGTCATCGAAGGCCGATCATAAGAAGCTTAAAATGTCCTAAATTATTGTGAGCTGTTCAGTGTTTTATTTTGCTTACCCTGAAATTTTACAACTTTATACTGTTTCGTTTCCTTTGATTTGCTAATAGTCCTTCCCACCACTAAACCACATATAATCTAACCTGCTTTTTAGACCTTTACCACTAATTATCTTCATAGCAGTGTGATATACTTAAAATGGATGTCTAACCCATAATATAAATGCTTTAACCATCAGATTTGCTTGTAACATGGAACTAGTGGAGACGGAATATTCCAAATATAGGTCTGTACAATAATCTAACTAACATTTCCTAGAGGTGTAATGAAGCGTAAAGAAGATTTTCTTTACAATTCACTCGACATGGATGTGGCTGAGATGCAGGCTAGGAATGTCCGCGTACAATATCCCAAATTCCGTGTTTTCGAAAAATTCATATCGCCAATCGCCAAGTAGGTTTAATTAGTATTTAGATATTCACGAATTAGTTCGACACAATTAGAGACATCACCTTCGACATCGGAATGTAAGCATGTTGGCGGCGCTATAGTGGACCAGTAAGTAACCTGCATCATGTAGTGACCTTTTTCAGCAGTGAAAGGTTGTATACACTGGTGCTGAAAATGTCGTCAGCTATCAATGAATTGACAAAAACGATTAACAACATGTCGTCCGCCATTATTGACTTGAATGTTAATGTAGACCAATTGCTATCGAAGTTTCATGAACGCGAAAAACCGCATCAATTCGATTGCGAACTGTCCAGTCAGCAGTTTCCTTTGTCATCTGAAAAGGAACTGCAGATGCTGGATACCGGTTTGTCGCAGAAAGAAACCAGGGACAGATTTTTAAGTCATTAACATAAATTTAATAATTTGTGACGATTACAGATGGCAATGGTCACTAGGTTATCAAGTGACGACCCAAAAGCGTCCATGCGGTTTGTTCTGTCGTATCTGTTGACACCTGAGTTTGCCAGTAATTTCACGTTACTTGGCACCTCTTCAAAACGAGCACTGCAGAAATGCACGTTTTACGGCTGCATACGAAGTAACCTTTATCTATTACTTAAACTTCAGGTGCTTTGACTAATCGCTTTTTGTCATCCTCTGTCAATGAAAAAGACCTTGGTAAGCTCTACGACATCGCGACCCAAAGTTACTTTCACGACATCCGAGACAAGATGATAAAACGTAATATGAGAAAAGATAACCAGGTATGTACTGATTTAAAGTGATAACCTCCCTACGGCTCTATAGTTACAGTCAACAATATTAACGAACATAACCGTAAGTTCAGCTTCAAGTATTTGGCTGTGCCAAAGCATATCATTGAGATATGGTTGTGACCCTTTTTTAATTCAGAATTCACAGGACGACTACCTCAATTCTGAATAGTCCGTGGAATTGTTTTGATGTTCTACCTCGATTTCAATAAACATTATTCTTTCAAACAGCTTACTTTTTCACTTACATGGGAAACTGTTGAACTGTTGAGAATGTGTGTTTGAGTTTCAGTGAACTTTTGATTAAATGGACATTCCTTCTGAATAAAACATAACCTGTTCCTTCTTTTTCAGATAATTTTCAATAACAATGAATTAGCAATTGCATTAGATATGCATGACAATGGATGCTTATCCTTGTGCTCTACTGTTGTACAATAATAGGCTTTTCTTTTTAAATAAAATTTTTAAAAAATTTACCGCTTTTCCACTGCCTTGCAGAAATATTTTGGTCTGTTGTTGAAAAAAAGGCGAATGCAGGAGACCTTTGGTTTTCTGTCAATGGATAGAAAATAGGATGTAATGTGTGTATTTAGGCGGATATGCGACAATTCGGCGGATATTTAGGCGAAAACGCGACAATTCTGCGGATATTTAGGTGAAAATGCTACAATTCAGCGGATAAGTGGGTAATTTGTCGACAAAAAGGCGAAAAAGGAGAAATTCCGCATTATTTCCTCCGGACAGGCGAAGAAGGCGACATTCTGATGCGTTTCCCCTTTCCCCTCATTATTTCCCTTTTTTAGGTTGTCTGGGTAGCTTCGACAAAAAAGAGGGACGGCCATTTGTGTATTGGAATAATGTTTTCAGCACTATATTTCATAAATACTCATAAATCCATTCTCTCAGCTTCTTTCTGAACCACTTTCTTTTATACAGTTCTTTACCCACTTATAACTTGTTTACACTTATTTCTTTAACATAATAGAATGCTCTTTCTTAATAAGTACCTTGATAAAATAAAATTGGACTGAGTAGTCATACTTTAACTATCCCTTCGTGAGCATTGTCTGCTCTGCTTCCTATCCTTTATATTGAATATAAAGGATCCTAAACCCTTTTTCAGCCCCTTTGAGATATGCCAATGAAAACAGATATGTAACAGATAACTTCGTACTGTACCGTCATCAAATCCTCAGATATTCCAGAAGGATATAAGGTTGCGATTTCTAGGAGCCCTCAACTTCACATGTATCTATTCTCGACCATCAGTTGCCCGTTGTAACGCAACCTTCATAAAACGCGCCAATTGTAATATTGGCAATACGATTCTTACTAAAACCATCGAAATTCATATGTTATAAAATGTCAACCCAGCTGAGTAATTTACTACAGTGAAAATTGTACCATATGTAACAATTTGATCTTGCCTGTAAACTGGCATGCCTCTTGTAACAAACCGTTATTCGAGAATAAATTATTATTATGACATTTTCGACATCGTAATTTTTCCAACAAAATTGAGAAGGAAACTATTTTGATTCTAGAAAAAATGTATAGATGTTTCTGAAACTATAATTTTGAAACAGAGTAGGAATAAACAGAATTGTGGTGGACCAAACTGATATGAACACAAAAAATATAAACAAAGTTATTAAAAATCAATAGTAATATTAATATATATATAATTAATTGTCACAAATACTATAAAAATTGGGGACGTTACTTAAATTGATCAGATGTTACGTGGTATGATTAGGTCCAGTGAAGTAAATCCACAATTATAAATGTTTGTTGATTCTGAACAGGTTGGTGAACTCTCTAATGATATAATCCACGTTGGATGTGATATATTTCGGTTACAGTCTATAAATGAAGATAGAATTTGATTTAGACTTCGGATAGCTCAATCACAAATGGAAATAGAACGAGGAGTGTGCGAGAAGCATTGTATTTGTTAGCCAGCAGCGATATGTCACGCAATGTAGTAGTACAACGGAAAGTGTGTTCAAGGTCATTTACTAAAACAACAGTTACAGTCATTTAATGTTGAATATACATACAGTGTAAGGTTGACAAAGTAAATACAAATAACATTGAAAACTATTTACAAAATAAGCTTGTCGGTTCCATCTCCACATAGCTCCCCCCAGAGTGTCCGGAGGTAACACTGGTTATAATAGAAAAAATGTAAGGATATGATATATACATGTATACAAAAATAATATTTACAGTTATAACCAACAAAAATGTGGAGATGAGTATGACATGTAGTAGAGATGTAGCATAGCATAATAAGCACACACAAAAAAAATGAAGACACTGTCATTTAACGCCTTGGTTTGCTGACAATGATAATAATAATGTGCAAAAGTGCTAAAGACCCAAAAAAATTGAACTGTTTATGTTTGTGTACGATAAATGAATAACTAAACCGAGTTTACTCGTTTATTATTGGCACAAAAAAAACTGGCAGAACGATTAATTGTGGAAATATGTGATAAGTTATGTACACTGTGAAAAAAAAAATTAATTAGAAATTTTGTTGGAAAAAATCGGATGAATTTAATAGTATAGTACATCGATAATTGTTTGTTTCTATTTCTTTTTTTATTCGGCGAAATGTACATAGCGTTTGGGTTTTTTTACAGCTCTGCCTGAACGCGTTAAACAAGTAGGTTTGTTACTCGATTTTTCTTCCATGTCTGCTGTAGTGATGGTTGTTGGACGGGATTGATTCAGTGAATTAGTATGTTCTTTGTCGTGCTGTGTCGTAGAAAGCAGGCTTTATTCTATCGATAGCGATAGTCTCTTTCTTTCCACACTTGTTGATTATGAAGTTTTTGTTCGTTCTTTTAATTACTTGATATGGTCCCTCATAAGGTTGTTTCAATGGCTTTTTAACTGCATCAACTCGGACGAAGACAAACTTGCATGTTTCTAGGTTTTTGTCGAGTTGTATTCGATTGTTATGTTCACGAGGCGGTATAGCTTTGATTCGTTTCATGGTTTGCAGCAGTTGGCTAGCAAAATGACTTAGATCTGTTGGTGTTAAAGTGTTTGGGTCTACTAGTTGACCTGGTAATGTAAGGGTTGTACCATAAACTAGCTCGGCGGCTGTACAACCTATATCTTCCTTTATAGTTGAACGTATTCCCAGGAGTACGAGTGGTAATGCGTCACTCCATTTGGTTGTATCATCTTGTGCCATCAGCGAGCTTTTTAATTGGCGGTGAAATCTTTCAACCAAACCATTAGCTGCTGGGTGGTAAGCTGTGGTTTTAATGTGGTTGACGCCTAGAAGTTTAGTGAACTCCTGAAAAAGGACAGATTGAAATTGGGGACCACGATCTGTTGTGATTGTTGCCGGCACTCCATAGTTAGATATCCAGCGATCGAGGAAGACTGAAGCGACTGTTTCTGCCGAAGTGTCTTTTATAGGGCAGGCTATGGCCCATCTTAGAAATCTGTCTACTGTGGTGAGAATGTGGGTGAAGGAATTGGACGAAGGCAGTGGCCCGACTAAATTCAAATGAATATGTTGAAAACGTTTGTCGGGAATAGGAAATTCGCCGATCGGGCTGATAGTATGTTTTTGTATTTTGCTGCGTTGACACTGGAGGCAGCTACGTGTCCAACGCTTAACGTCCGAGTTGATTTTCGGCCACACAAAACGTTCAGTGATGAGCCTTGTTGTTGCTCTGATGCCTGGATGTGAAAGACCGTGTAAGTGCTGGAATATTTTTCGTCTGCAGGCATGTGGGACAAACGGACGATTGTTGCCTGTTGAGGTGTCACACATGATGAATGCATCTGAGAGAGGAATTGGTACAGGTTTGAGATTTAAGCTAGACTTTTCTTTGCAGACTTTCAACTCTGCATCGTCTACTTGAAGTTTAGCCAAAGTTTCAAGGCTGATGTCATGATTGCGTACCATCATATTGATATCCCTCCTAGATAGTGCATCAGCGACAATGTTTGAGTGACCTTTGATAAACCGGATGTCTGTAGTAAATTGGGAAATGTAATCCAATTGTCTTGCTTCTCGTGGCGAGTGTTTGTCATACGATGTGCCAAAAGAATGGCAAAGGGGTTTATGATCCGTCATAATGATGAAATCGCGACCCTGTAACAGAAAACTGAAATGTTTTACCGCTAAATACATAGCCAAGAGTTCGCGTCCAAAAGTGCTATAACGTTCTTGTGTTGGTGATAATCTCTTGGAGAAAAAGGCGATGGGGGTAATCGTGTTGTTTACCCGCTGTTGTAATACTGCCCCGACGGCTTTTTGTGAAGCATCCGTACATAGGATCAAATGAGTTGTGGGGTCAGTATTGAGGTGTTGTAACATGGTGGCGTTGGCTATCAAGGACTTTGCTTTTTCGAATGCCATTTTGGCGTCAGGCGGTAGCTTGAATGCTTGATTCTTTTCCTTCCGCGTACCTTTTTTGTCACTTTTCAGTTAATCAGTTAACGGCTGTAGCACATCCGCACAACATGGTAGAAATCGGCGGTAGAAATTGCACGTCCCGAGAAAACGGCGTAATGACTTTATGGAGGTTGGTGCAGGGTAATTGGTAATAGCTTGAACCTTTTCTAGGAGTGGTTTGATGCCTTGAGAGTCAATGTAATGTCCTAAAAACTCTAAGGCTGGGACGGCGAATATACATTTAGAAGGATTGATAACAACACCATGTTGCTTAAAACGTTCAAAGAGGATCTGAACATGCTGAACATGCTCTTCTATTGATGAGCTTGCGATCAAAACGTCATCTATGTAGGCGAAAACGAAGTCTAAACCTCTTGTGACATCATCCATGAATCGTTGGAATGTCTGGGCCGCATTTTTCAATCCGAATGGCATTCTTAGAAACTCAAACAGACCAAAGGGTGTGATGATGGCTGTTTCCTCGATGTCTTCTGGTGCCATCGGAATTTGATGGTATGCACGCACGAGGTCGAGTTTCGAGAAAATACATTTACCATGTAAGTTTAACGAGAAGTCATGTATATGTGGGATAGGATACCTATCAGGGATGGTTTGATTATTCAGACGGCGGTAGTCGCCACACGGACACCAATCCTGGTCTTTCTCTGGTACCATGTGTAACGGCGAGGCCCAAGGACTATTAGATGGTCTGATGATACCAAGTTGCATCATGTGTTCAAATTCTCTCTTAGCTGTCTGCAACTTTGTCGGTGGTAATCTCCTCGCTCTGGCGCGAATGGGTGGTCCGGTGGTAGTGATATGGTGTTGCACCAGCTGTGGGTTACCTTCCTTTTTGTAATCTGATTTTGTAATGCACTGGTATTCTGTTAGAATATCGTCGAAAATGTTGTTCACAGGTTTCATTATTCGAACACCATGGATTTCGTTGTCGTTGGAGAGTGTACCATTTACCTGTAAACGTGTGTTTACATCGATTAGTCTCTTGTTGGTCATATCTACTAACAGGTTGTGCGCACTAAGAAAATCAGCTCCGAGGATGGGTCGTTTGACATGAGCAACCAAGAAAACTCATGTGAATCGTCTGCGGAGTCCGAGGTCTAATATCAGTGATTGCTCTCCGTAAGTTTTGATAATTGATTCGTTAGCCTCTATTAGGGACAGTTTAGTGCATGTTGTTTGTTGTCTGCGGGAGAGACGGAGTGGGATGATGCTGACTTCTGCTCCAGTATCGACTAGAAAGTCCGAGCCAGAAGTGCGATCCCTGACGTGGAAGAGACGGCTAACATGTCGGCCAGTAACAGCTGCCGCCATTACTGTCTGGCCACTTCGTTTCCCTGAAAGTTTGGGTTGCTTGTCTTAAAGTTGCACGGTTTGGTGCAACGTCGTGCTTTCTCACCATAATTCGAAGGATACCAACAAATTCCGGCTGCTCGTTTAGGTGACACGATGTCTGGATACTGATCTTCTTCTGGATGTAGATCTGGCAGGTCGAGAATGGATGGTGGAAATAGTCGACTGCAGTGATGCTAGCTGCTATGTTAACTGTGTTATTTGTTGTTGGATGCTGTTAGATGGGCTAATCGTGTCTCTACTAGAGGTTTGTAGTACATTCAAACGCTGGCTGTCGGGATAAATCTCCATCATTTTCTCAGCCATATCAGCTAGATTGTCGAGATTGACGGTAGTTCCTGATACGCTGAGAATTTGGGTGACGTTCTGTGGTAAACGTTGAAACCACATCTGTTTAAGCAATGCATCGTCTACCTTATATGACCCTGCTAAATGTTTCATATGTCCGAGTAATTGCGAGGGTCTCTTGTCCCCAAATTTGCAAGACGTTAGCAATTGCTGCAGTCTTCTCTCGTCTGAAACTGAGGTGCGTTGGATTACGGCTGTCTTTATTTTATCATAAGGTTCAGCTCCTGGCACGTGATCGATTAAATCTCCGACTTCCGCAGCAATCTCAATAGAGAGTGCCCCAACTACATAAGCATACTTTGTTGCCTGAGATTTTATACCTCTAGCCATGAACAAAGCTTCGATTTGTGCAAACCAGATTCTTGGATTATTAACGCCGAACGTTGGTAGTCTTAAGTCTGAAATTGCGTTGATCGAGGTTAAGGCATTATCTTCTGATTGTGAAGAGTTCAAGGAGTTGATCAGTGGACTATCTATATCAATGAGTTTACCAGGAGAGTTCATGATGGCAAAAACGAAAATAAATGAACTAGCGTGCCGAGTAATAAAAAAATGAATATATATATAAACAGTAAACGTCTATAATGAATTCAAGGCTCACCAAATAATTGTGGTGGACCAAACTGATATGAACACAAAAAATATAAACAAAGTTATTAAAAATCAATAGTAATATTAATATATATATAATTAATTGTCACAAATACTATAAAAATTGGGGACGTTACTTAAATTGATCAGATGTTACGTGGTATGATTAGGTCCAGTGAAGTAAATCCACAATTATAAATGTTTGTTGATTCTGAACAGGTTGGTGAACTCTCTAATGATATAATCCACGTTGGATGTGATATATTTCGGTTACAGTCTATAAATGAAGATAGAATTTGATTTAGACTTCGGATAGCTCAATCACAAATGGAAATAGAACGAGGAGTGTGCGAGAAGCATTGTATTTGTTAGCCAGCAGCGATATGTCACGCAATGTAGTAGTACAACGGAAAGTGTGTTCAAGGTCATTTACTAAAACAACAGTTACAGTCATTTAATGTTGAATATACATACAGTGTAAGGTTGACAAAGTAAATACAAATAACATTGAAAACTATTTACAAAATAAGCTTGTCGGTTCCATCTCCACAGAATTATATGTATCCCACACAGAATCTAAATTAAATCATTTTAGATTAAATAAATGATCATAAAACCACGGGTAAAAAGCAAAAATAATTTGCACTTACTAAAGCCTGAAAGTTAAGTAAAATATACTCTGGGTGAAGAAGTATGAATTATTATGTATATAATTGTAAGGCGCCAGCCGGTCACTGTCTCTTAACAAAGCTATGATGTCACGTTAATGAAGTGTTGAGCTGAAGTGCTCGGAAGAAAATCTATAAAACTATGCATCGCAATGCAAAATGAGACTGGATAGCACAATCAAAAGTTCAGGCTGCTGATAAAACTGATGCCGGAGTTATGAACAGCGCAAAAAACCCCCCAATAAGCGTTTATTTAGAATTTCATTAGGGCCAGGACTAAGGCCAATGAAGGTTGTTCCACTATGAACAAAAGTTAGCAGTATACCCTATGATGCAGCCCATTCTTATAAATTGTTGATGCATTCTTGATTTACTGCTGAAATAAACCTTTTTTGGTGGAAGATGAAAATAAATAAACCACTGTCAGGTCATCAGCTAAGAAGAAAGATATACCATATCGAAGGAGTTAGCAAGTCAAAATACATGTGTGTTTAGAAGTATCAAAAACACGGCAAAATATCCAGCAAAATAATTAAACTCACCTGGATTTTTCTTGGGAGTTAGATCATCATATAAATTTGACATATATAGAATTAGTTATGACAAGTGGTAATGATTTAAAAGCAATCAGTTCCTGGATGTGTGTGATGCTAATTTATCACTTGGTTGATTCAGTAAAAAATTCGGAAGTCTAGATAACTACCTGGCTTTCACAGTATAAACAGTCTGAAATTAGATTACAATTGCAGAAACTTTAAAGCTCAAACTCACCGTAAGTTTCTGGAATATCATCTTCGTTGTTTATCAACGGAACTCAGAAACTGGAAACATGGCAGGAAGTGGTCGAGAGAAAAATGATTACGGGATAGTCCAGAGTTTGAAATGGAGTGAAATGTTATGTGATGAAATAAGACGAAGAATTAGTCCTTGTTTACATTGACAGCCAATGTGCATTTACGTAAATTAAGGGCCAATTTTGCTAGTGCTTGATGTTTTTACAGGTTTATTTCACTGAACAATATAAATGCTACTACAACTTGCTAAGGAACCATCATGAGTAATAATAAATATAGATGACGAGTCATTAGAATCAATTAAACTAGTAAGCACATTAATAGCCAATATTACACTACAATAATACGCGCTAGCATTGTTCAACAAACTCATCGTATGATAGCAACCCCATTTAGGCTGGAGATGGGACAATATATCTAAAATGAATAAGAGGTACAATCTACACAAGAATGATCACGCATGCAAAGCTGAGTCATGCCATTCGATGAATTTGAATTAACTGAATTTACTCTTCCGGCCTTCTCCATCGCCGGAGCGTAAGAAACACTACCGTGACTTACTGGCGTAGATAGAGTACGATTAAGTTAAGTGTGGATACCAAAATAACCGGAATATATGCAGAAATATCATAGCTATGTGTCGCACTACATATAAAAGACAATTGGCATATGATAGCCGTACCTACACAAAATTATTTTCTTCGTACATGAAACGAAGAACAGTACTCAGTGATTGAAATTTTCCTCCTAAAATATAGTAAATGAATTATATCTATTAAGACATCAGATCCTGATGGGTTTTATTTACGACTGCTGTCATCACTCTAGACAAAGCTGAGACTTTATCAGTCTATTCAAGTGAAGTCTAACTTTTGGGTATTGTTAACAACATTTGTTAAAACCACACAACTGACATTCCAGTTATTGGACTTGTACATGTGAATGAAGGAGCTGTTATTCAAATGATGAACAACATCTAATTTGTTAGGACACCTGGTCCTGACGGGTCATATATACGACTGCTGTCATCACTCGTAGACACTATTTGAGCACCACTGAAGTCAATGTTCAGCATGTCCCTTTCCCACACTCAACAACCTATGGGTTACAAAGATAATTTGGCTAATCCGATATTTAAATATAGGTAGGGACGGATCGCGTCCAATTACCGACAACTCAGTCGAACTAGGACAGTAATTACTTGTAAAAATAACTGTGCCCAGGTTGCTAGGCCACACCTAGTTATACAGTCTGCCATCTCTTGAGGAACATAAGTATTCATGATCAACTAACTTACTCATTGCGACAGGAGATTGGACAGTAGTCTAAGATAATGTCATACTTTTTGATATGATGTTCGTAAACTTCGGCAAAGCACTTGATAAAGTTCCCCACTTTAGGCTTGTGAAGAAGATTTTGTGCCGTACAGCAATGAATAAGGAAATCCCTCCATGGCTAGAGAATGAGTGGAATCAAGCTAAAAGTCAAATGCTCCAAATGAACCATCTTAGGTTCACTAGTTTTTCTTCTGTTCAATTATGGTATATTTCGTTATTTATAGCATAAACTCACCATATGTTTCTGAAGTATTATCACTAGTTTGGCGATGAAACTCGAAAATTGGAAATTACGCAGGAAGTGGTCTGAAGAAATGATATTACAGGATAGCCTATAGTTCAAAAAAGATTGAAACGTTAGGTATAGAATATGAAGAATTAGGTCCAGATAACCATTCAATCACTGCTTACGTTGCTATTCAATGTATATTTACGTCATTTACGGGCCATATTCACCACAGCCTGATGTTTTAAAAAATTTATTTCGCTGAAGCATATAAATGCTATTACAGCTTGTTAGGGAACGATCGTAACTAATAATTAATGTAGATGATCAGTTATTAATATCGATTGGGCTAGTAAGCAGCAAGTAATAGTCAATATAACATTACGATAATGCATGTAAACATTATTCAGAGGACTAATAGAATAATGTGTTAACATGAGTAAAAATCGATCGATCGAGTGGAAATAAGGATTAGTAAAAGACTGTGTTTCTCTAGTCGAGTTCAACAGCGTAGAATGATGGTCTACTTCGTTATTAGTACTGCTAAAATAATAGGTCTGATTTCAAAATTGCAGATTTGTTATGGTGCGACTATCTAAGCTGTGTGATGTTACGTGGAAGTCACACAAATGTTTACACTGACTCTTCATACCACGACAACCAGCAATGTGATGTTTAGGACTCAGGGAGAACACCATTTGACTGAGGATAGAATAATGTGTTTAATGTGAATAAAGGCATATAATACAGAATGAGCGAGTCTGTGAGACTGAGCAAGACTTTGAGACTAAATCATGCATAGCCATTGAATGAATGTTCCCGAATTCACCACTGTTCGCTTTCTCCCTCTGATAAATGTTAAATATATATTTTCCCAATTATTTTATGTTCAGCTTTCAAGATTGGGTAGATAAGTCCAAAACAAACACAAGTGCAGTTCGTTAATAAACCGAACACGCTAAATTTTAATAACAAATTGAAAAACAGAGCAATAACCGTGAAAAAATCTGAAACAGAAGGAAACATGAGAAAAAACTATATGACACAGCGGAGAAACTGACAAGGAAATATGGTCGGGAACAAATAAGGCAAGCCAATCACTGACATTCAAGAACATAGCACCAAATGGGTAGAACCCTTTGGGGAAATATTGAATAGGCCAGCTCCACTGAATCCAACGGACATCGAGGCAGCACACGCACCTTCCTATAAATATCATTCCACCAACGATAGAAGAAATCAGGATGGCCACCAGACAAACCAAGAGTGGGAATGCAGATGGACCTGACAATATATCAGCTGAAGCTCTGAAGTCAGATATAGAAGTAACTGCAAGTATGCTTCACACTGTATTCAGGAAGATTTGGAAGGAAGAACAAGTACCGACAGACTGGAGAGAGGGATACCTAATCAAGACACCAGAAAAGGAGATCTGAGCAAATGTGAGAACTACAGAGGCATCACACTACTATCTGTACCAGGAAAGGCATTCAACAGTGCTGCTGAATCA